TCTTATTCATCCTAGAATTTAATCCTCCAGCTCCCTTTGTCACTCGTTTTCTCAACACAAGAGCAATGAAGGAAACTTTCAAGAGTTACATGGAGTTGCTTGTTAGCATTGCTCTGGATCCAGATACGATGCAAGCCCTAGAAAAGAGCAATGGTATGGCCTGCCAAGGAGCACATTCAAAATGCTTTTGTCTGTTTAAATGAATTTTCTCACTGTTGTCTCTTGTTTTATTTTGTTATTTATTCCTGTGGGGGGTTTCTTTTTTCTTTTTTGTTTGTTTATTTTGAAATATCTCATTTATAGACAAGGAAATCTTTGAGTGGCATTGTAGTTAATGGCAAAGCAATTACCTAACTTGTGTGTGCAAGGCCCTGACCCCATCTCTACTACTAGCCAGAAAAACAAGTCTTGTTCATCCTCGGTGTTTTATAGCACTTTAGAATGTTTGTATTTTGTAGTATTACTATTGTTAGATAATAAATGAGGTTTAGAGAAATTAATCATCTTTCTAGTGGCCATGCTTTTGTTTTAGTTGAGCTAAGGTACCAGGCATAGTGATGTACTCATTTAATCCCAGCACTTGAGAGGCTGAAGAAGGCAGAATAAAGCTAACCCGGTGTATGTTCTTTACTAGCCTGGGCTACATAATGAGACCTGTCTCCAAAAAAGGGGGAGGGGAGAAAAGAAATAAAGTGCACGACCTTGGCAACACACCCATTGCTGTGCAGAGGTGTATCTTTCTCACTCGTTATTGTACATCTACTTTCCATGCTGATCCCAGAAAGCTGTACGCCTATCTTTTCTCCTTTCGGGTTGTTATTTCAAGACAGGGTTTCTCTGTGTAGCACTGACTGTCCTGGAACTCGCTCTGTAGACCAGGCTGGCCTTAAACTCACAGAGATCCTACTGCCTCTGCCTCCCTTGTACTGGGATTAAAAGGGTGTACTACCACTGCCCGGCAAATGCCTATTTGTTGTTTGGTTTGGTTTGATTTTTCCAGACAGGGTTTCTCTGTGGTTTTGGAGTCTGTCCTGAAACTAGTTCTTGTAGACCAGGTTGGTCTCGAACTCACAGAGATCCGCCTGCCTCTACCTCCAGAGTGCTGGGATTAAAGGTGTGTTCCACTACCGCCTGACCAAATGCATATTTCTTAAAAACTGTGTTTTACACAAGCCAAAAAATTTAATGTCTTCTAATATGCAGATGGTTTAAGAAAAAAATGGGTGTTAGCAAATATCCATGTTGATAGTTTATCCTATTGAAATAAATTATTATTTCAGATGAGCTACTTTTACCACATATGAAAAAAATAGATGGAATGCTGAATGATAACCGGAAAAGACTTCTTGTGAATCTTCATTTGGACCAACCATTCAAGGTATTTCCTCTTGGTGATGCATTAGCAAACTTCAATGACAGTCAGTCCCAAGCAGCTAGAATGAAAATCCCTGCCCTCCCCCCCCCCCTTTTTTTTTGTTTGTTTGTTTAGCATGTTTTTAGCCTTTTTGTGTTTGAGTTTAAATTCATTTTTAGTCATTTATATGTAACATTCCTCCTATAAAATATTCTCACGTTTCCCAAAAGTAATTCTCTTCAAATGCCATAGTCATGTCTTGTATTCCTTTATATCTTTTTTTTTTCCAAAGACATTTTTTTTTCTGTGTATGGATGGGATTTTGCCTGCATGTACTTCCTGCAAAATGTGTGTGTAATCTTCTTATAACTTCTGAAAGGTTATACATTTTGGGCTGGAGAGATGCCTCCACAGATAAGAGCACATGCTACTCTTATAGAGGACCCAGGTTTGATTCCCAGCACCCACATGCTGACTTCCAGCCTTCTGTGTAACTCCAGTCTCAGGGGAGCCAGTGTCATTTTCTACCACACACATGTTTCACAGATACACATTGAGGCAAAATACTCATACATAAAATAATAAAATTTAAAAAGTAATTAAAATATTTTAAGCTTACACATTCTGCCTATAATTAAAGATTAGCCAGTGTATGGGAACATACCTAAAATCTCAACCCTTGGAAAGTGGAGGCAGGAAGATGAGGAATTTGGGTTTTTACTGTTAATATATTTTTACAATATAAGTTGGTATTTTTATTACCTAAAACAGAATTTGAAAGATAATCTGAATTCAGAAAATCTATCATAAAAGCTATTCATTTCAGAAAACTCCTCGGGTTTCCTTTTAATGTGTAACATCTCAATCTATTTGATTTTATCTGCTTAGGCAAAGTTTGTTGTTTTTCCACTAATAGTAATTATATACATTTGTAACAAAAGTTAAAATTTTTTGAATGCTTAAATAGGAGATTATGAGAAGTGTTTGCTTTAGAAGTAATTAGCAAAAAAAAAGTAATTAGCACAATCACGGTAGATCATATATATATATATATATATATAAGTTCAGCATTCTAGAGCTTGAGGCAGAAGGCTGTCTATGAGCTCCAGGCCAGGTGGGCCTGAATAATAAGATTCTATCTTCAAAACAAACATAAAATTTTTAAAAAACTACAAAAGAAACATGTAATATAGAGGTAGAAGTATATAGTTTAGTGAGTGGTAGAATGCTTGCCTAAAATACATGAGTTCCCAGGTTCAGTGCTGTACACGACTCCCAAATAAAGGAAAGAGATCAGAAAGATTTAATTTCACTTCTTCTTGCTATGATAAGCTTGGTACCTTTTATGTTTATAGGTGTTTTACCTGCTTGTGTGTAACCGCACCACAGGCATGCAATGCCCTCAGAGGTTGGAAGACAGTGTCTGATCTCACTCAAACTGGAATTACAAATCGTTGTAAGCTTCCATGGGGGTGCTAGGAACCAAACCTGGTCCTCTGTGAGAGTAGTGTTTAACCACTGACAGATACTTAGCCCCAAGTTTGGTTATTTTAAAAGTATGTCATAAAACCTTCTGAAGTTAGTGGTGCTCTGTCTTTACCCTTAAGGATCTTTAGCATCTTTTCCTCCTTACATGTAATATGTAAGCTTTCTTCTTTTATCTCCAATGACCTAGTACCAGTAGTTTTCAAATTTACTATCTGTTTTTTGTTTTTGTTTTTTTGGTTTTTTTTTTTTTTTTTTTTTTTGGTTTTTCGAGACAGTGTTTCTCTGTGGCTTTGGAGGCTGTCCTGGAACTCGCTTGGTAGTCCAGGCTGGTCTCGAACTCACAGATATCCACCTGCCTCTGCCTCCCGAGTGCTGGGATTAAAGGCGTGCGCCACCAACGCCCGGCTACTATCTGTTTTTAGACTTTAAATTCTTCTTGTTGTACCTGGCAATTCCAGACCCAGAATTGTTCAACTAGTGTATTTTTAAGTGCAAAGCATCAGTGTATGTGATAAAAGTCCAAGTAACGTAGGAAGGATTGCGGTAGACATTGACGGTAGCTTTTAAGTAGATATGCCAAAAGTTTTGTTACATTTATCAAATGACAGTTCTCTGTTACATTTAGATGTAAGAAAAATTTTTGTTTTTTAAATGTACTCTTTTCGGGTTCACAATACCTGTTTGTAAAAACTGGAAATCTGGAAGTGAAAGTTAAATTACATTCTGACCCATAAATGTGACAGGAGCACTTTTAACCCTTAATGCATAATAATTCATGCTGCTGCTAGCTAAATCTAATTTTAGAAAGCTGTTATCAAAGTCGTCATAGCCATCTTCAGGGATCACTGTATTATTCTGTGCAGCTTCTCAGGTCACGATGCCTTACCAAGCAGATAAGGGCATAAAAGTCAGTGGGTGTTGAAGACCTGACTAGGAATGGGTCTGCCTTGTGGCTATTGTGCCATCAGTAGCGGCTCCTTTCCTGTGGATTTTTTTTACTGTGCAGCCCAAGGAAGCCAAAGGAGTGCAGCAGGAAACAGCAGTTCGTCTTCCCGTCTTTGTCTCCATCCTCATTTAGAATCTGACGACCTCCCTGTAGATGATTTGCCTCTGTTTCAGGTTATTATTAAGGGTAGAAACAGTATTTTAAGCAATGCATATATCCCTATTTTCCCTATTTCACAGTCAAAGGGCATTACTAGTAATAACTCAGGACTTCTTCAGGCCACTCTGGGAGAAGGTTCAAAGATTTGTAACTACATCCCATTGTGACCATCTGCGTTTGTGCATGCGTGCATATGTGTTTGTGTGTATATAAATTTTGAATGGCTAGAAATTCCAGTTTTCTTCTGATGTCAGTTATTATCCTTCATTATTTTAAAGAATGCTTTGGAAAGTTTTCCTGAACTAACAATTATTACTCGAGACTCTAAAGCAAAAAATGGAGGATCTGCTATTTCTAAAATAAAAATGAATGGCAAAACTTACAATAAGAAAACTCTAAGAACTTCTAAAACAACCACTAAGTCTGCACAGGTAAGTACATATTGCTTAATGAATGTAAACCTTTTCCAGTTAACACAGCTCCAAGACAGCACTGAAATAAGCCTATGTGCAATCATGAAGTGTCATCTTTGGGGTGGAATAAGCAGCTGTGCTCTGAGGATGGGACACTATAATTTCTTCTGTATGCATTGAACAGTAACTGGCAATAGTGAGTGCACACTGAATTTGTAAAATAAACTAATAAGGGAAATCATCCAATGTTAAGTTTAGATGTTTTCATATAGTTTTAAAACTTTTTAATTCATTAAAAATATTTATGTGTCCCCAGGGGTGGTGGTGAACGCCTTTAATCCCAGCACTCGGGAAGCAGAGGCAGGCGGATCTCTGTGAGGTCGAGGCTAGGCTGGACCGACAGCTTCCAAAAACAATACGGAGAAATCCTGTCTTGTAAAACCAAAAAAAAAAAAAAAAGTATTCAGTAATTCAGATCTGATGGTGCATACCTGATTCCCAGCACTTGGTAGGTGGAGGCAGAAGGATCAGAAGTTTGAGGACAGCCTCAGCTACATAGCACTTTCAAGGGTTATATGAGACCCTTGTCTCAAAGAAAAAAGGCATTTTCTGTAGAAATACATTCACAAACACAAAGAGTTTCCACAGCTACTGGTCTGCAGCTGTTCTTAAGGTAGCAGTTGTAACGTTCCTCTGTGTGAAAGAAACTTACACAATTTAACACCTCTTTCTTACCAAACAGAAAGAATATTCGTGACAGACACACAGCACACACACACACACACACACACACACACACACACACACACACACGAGAAGCAGGTGCTGTGTCAGATCTCTTTAATCCCAGAGAGAGGCAATGAAAACTCTTAAGTTGTCAGAAACAAAACAAAACTGGTATTAATGTTGTTTGTTTGGGGGTAGTTTTTTGTTTTTTGTTGTTGTTTTTGAAGGTAAGGTTACACTCGTTATGCTATCCTGGAACTTGCTTATAAACCAGGCTGACTTTAAACTCATATACTCACCTGCTTCTAGAGTGCTAGGATTAAAATAATATGCTTTATGCTTGGTTTAAAATTATTTACTTCATACAAAGAAGCCCCATTGATTGTCTGCCAGACAGCTACAGCAAAACATTTTGTGTATTTATAGTGACAAATGCAGTTCTAAGGAGTAGGGGACTGGAGAGGTGGCTCAGCCAGAGCTACATACATTATCTAAAGTAATAAATAATTAGGGGTACCATACTAAAAGTTAGCTAGCCAAAAGTACATGTGTTCATATAATTTTTATTTAGGGGATAAAGATGGAATGATATACATACAATAATATCAAAGTTACCCAAGTTGTACGTTGGTTTAAAAAAAAATATGTTGGAACTGGTGTGGAGTGAATGTTTTGGGTCAGTTTGTCAGATTCCTTATCAGAAAATTAATGTTCCTGTTTTGAAAGAAAGGAAGAAATAAAGAGAAAATTAATGTTACTTAAATATTCAAGCCTAGCCTAATGGAAGAGCTTGAAAGACTATGTAATATGCCACCAGTCACATCTGTCTCTGAAGACAAAGTAATAGAAATCTTTTAGTCTGCATCTAGAATGGTAGTTCCTGTTTACAATTACGTGCAGTACTTGGGAAGCAGATGGCAGGATGAAAGGCTCAAGGCCCGCCTCAGCCATGTGGGCTCAGTTTTAAGAATGAGAAGCACTAGGGAAGGAGAGGCAGGTGGATCAGAGTCTCAGGCCTGCTAGAGCTGCAGAGTAAGATCCTGCCTCAAAACAAGAAAAGGCCTTTATTCTTTTGTTATCTTATATGTTTTCTATTTTGATTTTTCTATAACGCTAGTTTTTCAAATAACAGGTACTCATAACTTAATAAAAGATGATTTATCATGATGATTTAAGATACACTTTATATTTAAGCTCCCATGTATATTAATACAACTTCATACCTAGTCATATAAGACATTTTCCAGGTTGTAATTCACTATGGATCTAGTATTTTTTTGAGCTCTAACGTTACATGAAAGGTGCCTGTAAATGTCTTTCTTTTTTAGGAGTTTGCTGTTGATCCAGAGAAAATACAATTGTATTCATTATATCACTCACTCCATCATTATAAATACCATGTTTATCTAATATGTAAGAATGAGGTAATTTCTTTTTATTTAAAATTTAATAACATGTTTTTCTGAATTTCTGTTTGTGTTTTGGTTTGGGTTTTTTGTTTATTCAAGACAGGTTTTCTCTGTGTAGCCCTGACTATTCTGGAACTTACTCTGTAGACCAGGCTGGCCTCAGACTCAGATCTGCCTGCCTCTGCCTCTTGAGTGCTGGGATTAAAAGCTTGGCATCTGAATTTTCTTTTTGTCGCTGTAACGATAAACGGCACACTTGTTGAGGGCATAGGTAACTGTTTATTGTAGAAATTACTTACAAGAGAAAACGGGCAATCCAGATGAGTCAAGAAGCTCTAGCTACCGAAAAGAGAGGGAGAGGCTCTGCTGCTTGGTCTTTTATTCCCTTCTTCGTAGACACCTCTAGCCACGCCCAAAAGTGGGCCTGGCTAGCAGCATAGTTCACCACCCTGTCTCTAGTAGTGCCCAATGTGGGTGTGGTTAGCGGTTCTGCCCTTTCATTACCACGTCCATAAGCCCTCTAGAGTGCCACGTGGCTAATGGAGGAGTCCTAAATCTCCTCCTACATCTTTTCTTTTTTTTTTTTTTTTGTAAGATTTACTTATTATGTATACAGTATTCTGTCTGCATATCTGCCTGCAGGCCAGAGGAGGGCACCAGATCTCGAAAGATGGTTGTGAACCACCATGTTGTTGCTGGGAATTGAACTCAGGACATCTGGAGGCGCAGTCAGTGCTCTTAACCTCTAAGCTATCCCTCCAGCCCCTGAATTTTCTTTTAAAAAAACTATCTACAGTGTGTGTGGGTGCTTTGAAAATAGTTACAAGATATGTGTGTACTTAGCTGCCTGTATTCTTTTGTAAATAATGACTAGATTTGAGTTTCTCTGCTCTTGGTGCCAAGATGCAGCAGACCTCCTCGCTTGTTGATATAACTGGCTAAATTTCTAAACTGCTAGCACTTGATCACAAGTCGGTAATGTATCTTGTTTTGAGCTGGGCATGGTAGCACAGTCCTTTAATCTCAACCCCAGAAGGCAGAGGCATGCTGATGGCCAGCCTGGTCTACAAAGCTAGTTCCAGTATAGCTAGGAACTAAACAAAGAAACCCTGTCTGAAATTAAGACAGAAAGGAAGAAATGAAGGTTAGAATTATAACTGTTTTTAAAGTTTAAGTGTTTTGCCTGTGTGTATGTATATGTACCATTTGTAATGTGTCTTCAGAGATCAGAAGCAGGCTCAAAGGAGCTTCTGAAACTAGAGTACAGACAGTTGTGAACCTCCGTGTTGATGCTGGGAACCAAACCCTGGTCTTCAAGAACAGCAGCTGCTCTTAACTGCTGTGCCCTGTCCAACCTAATAGTACTGAGCTTCATAACTACCAGGTTAAATTAGACAGAGCTGTATGTGATGTGTTAGGCAACAGCTTCAAATAGAAAGATGTTCATGAGTCTAAAGGAGAAAGAAAATGTGGTGAAGCAAGCTGTGTTGACTATTTTTACAGTGAACTGAGATAGAGTTGACATAAGTATTTGTCATTTTGGGAGTGGTTTAGAGCACCAGCTGCTCTACCAGAGGACCTGGGTTCAATTCCTAACACACATAAGGTCTAGTTACCATGTGTAATTCCAGTTCTAAGGAATCTGACACCCTATAAAGCCTCTGTGTGCATTTGACACACAAGTGGGTGCATGTACATGCATGTAGGCAGAATACCCTTTATGTAAAACAGTATTTATCTTTGGTTTTTAATACAGTAGGAAGGAATTAAGAAAGCATGAAGCACTTTACCAAGACTTTTACCTGCCCTGTGGACCCAAGATTACAGGAGTTGATTTAATCAAAACTTGTCTGAAATAATCATTTACTATGACTGGAAATGGTGAGGGGGGGTGCGTGAAAAAGATTAGTTCAAAAGCTGGTTCATGAGCCGGGCGGTGGTGGGGCACGCTTTTAATCCCAGCACTCAGGAGGCAGAGGCAGGCGGATCTCTGTGAGTTCGAGGCCAGGCTGGACCGATAGCCTCCAAAACAATACAGAGAAACCCTGTCTCGTAAAACCAAAAAAAAAAAAAAAAAAAAAGCTGGTTCATGCCTTTAATCCTAGCATTCAGGAGCCAGAGACAGGAGGATCACTATGAGTTCCGTTAGGAGCTTTGGTTGCTTTTCCAGAGGACCCAGGTTTGATTTCCAGCAGCTACATGGCAGCTCACACCTGTCTGTAACTCCTGGTCCAGGGAATCCAACTCCCTTACATAGACATGCATGCACACAGAATACCAATGTACACCAAATAAAAATAAATTTAAAAAGTGAATACCTGAAGGTACAAGGTCTTAGAAAGCATTTAAGTGTAACATGCTCTGTGTAAACTAATACAACAACTTCTTTATTTTTTAGATATCATCTGTGCAGAAAAAAAATGAAGATTTAGGACAGGAAGAAATTGTTCAACTTTGTATGAAAAATGTGAAGTGGGTGGAGGACTTATTTGAAAAATTTGGGGAACTTTTAAATCATGTACAACAGAAATGTTCCTAACATTTCCACAAAAATCCCATTTTTTTTTTTTTAGCACTAATGAGATGTCATAGTGTCACAGATAATCAGATCTCCAGCAGTGGTGTCTTGCAGACATGCCTCTAACATGGGGAACTTTGGTCAGGATGTTTGCGAGGACAGTGCTGCTGCCACGGAAGCCAGTCTTTTTATCTCCATGATTTGTCTAATTTTGTAAACTGTGGGGGGACTGAGTTTTTATTTCCAGAAATGTCTTTTGGCAAATGATAAAGCATGCACTAAGTATGATTTTATTGCTAGAGAAGTAACAATGAAGTGACCTGACTTCCCCCATGACTGGTGTCAGAACGAAAAAGGTGGCAGAAAGCATTGTATCTGGTCACAATTCGGAAAGTATTGTACATTGTATAAACGGACCTGTGTGGTGTGACATCCTCCTGTATGAGAATGTCTTCAATTTAAAATATGAAACCCAGAAGCTGCGTTCTGCTCTATGGAGTCCTTTAACACAGCCAGGAAACTGGGTGTGAACTGTGCAATTCTGTGACTGCTTTTTGTGTCAAGTTATATTGTGATAAAAAAAGGTGACGTACTATTTTCCCTGTTTTAAAGAAAAGTATTTTTGTTTATAATGTGTTTTCCTTTGGACAATTTTCAATTGTACATTTTATTTTACTAATAGTTGTATTTTTCACAAAGAAAATGTGGTTTTAATTTTTCTATCCTTCATTGTTTTCAGTAAACCCTGTGTAGGTACATGTCATTTGCATTATAGATTCTGTCTTGAGGTGGTCATTTTTGTTTTGCCCTAGTGTTAACTCAGAATATTCATTTGGTGCTAGAGTTAGTTTAGCTTTATAAATGGGACTGTGTGAAACACTGCACTAATTTCATATTTCATAAAATAAATTTCTTACCAAACTAGCACTTGATTTATACTGATTTGTCCAAGTAAAAATTAACTACTGCTGGATGTAGTGGCATATGTCTTTCATCCCAGCACTTGGGAGGCAGAGGCAGGTGGCTCTCTGTGAGTTCAAGGCCAGCCTGGTTGTGTTGTGGACAGCCTGTTGGACATAGTGAGCTCCAGGACAAACAAAAAGTTAACTACTG